ATAAATATTTCAAAGCAATTGGTTTTTTTTCCTGTCTGCTTTCTTAACTGTCTAGCTTTCATGTCCATACATGGTGAGCAGAAATAGAATAGTGTGGATGAACCTGATCTTGGGAGAGAGGCATATGATATCCTTCACACATTCATATTCTATTTTAAATTGTGCAATGGTGGGATACAAGTAAAGAAACATCTATACAGTATACTGTGGCATTCTCATTCTTTCTGCTGCATTCCATTCTCAAGGACTCTTATTATGACCAGCAAAGCAGAAGAAATGCACCAGGGCATTCATGAATAAGTTTTGAGCTTACAGGACATCTGAGGGGTTTTCCTCACAGCACTCTCAGATGTCTGGCTCCACAAATATAGCAACACCTAGGTAAGACCAAGCGACATTCAGTTTTTCGGTTTCAGAGATGGTTGCTGGTTGGCCAGTAGGTGGCAGTATTATACAGTATAACATTGGCCAACTCTGCTTAATTTGATTCCTCCTGGCATCATCACTGGTGTGGAACTGTTTACTTGATGTAAGACAAAGGAGAATATGTGACCTGTTGGACCCTGCTTCTTCAGATTCTTAGAAGCCTATTAGGTACGGTATGTGACTTTACCATATCCTAATACAGACCTTTCTGTGCATGAACCTGGTTGCCACAAAAAACAACCTGACAATATGCCATGTCAAAGTGAACACATCTCCAAGCTTGCTTATTGCTGATAGCATAATAACTACATTCAAGAAAATCCTATTTCAAAATACCACAGGTGTAAGGAAGAGTACACAAGTGGTGCCTGTCACATGCTTCAGGTACATACCGGTAACTTGGATATGTCTGAGTGATCAAAATATATTTACAATGATCATGCAAAGCCAATAGGGTTCTGGACATTTTTTGTTTGTTTTGTAATGACATGAACGACTGAGATGGAGGATGAAAAACCTTGTACAGGTATGTCTCTATAGATGTGTAGAAGAAGATATTTTGACACGAGTAGTCACCCAAGCTTCACTCTACCTATTTTCGAAGGAGGTTCTACAAGAACTGTAGCATCGCCATACCTTCTGGAGCCGGGGTTCCAACCCTGGGCCCCCATGTGTTTTTGGACTGCGACACCCAGAAGCCTCCACCACTAGCTGTCCTGGCCAAGATTTGTGGAAGTTGTAGTCTAAGAACATTTGGGGACCTGAGGTTGTTCCTGGAGTCTATGTTGTTGCCTTTATCCATTGATGTTGGTCTCAGATGTTAGTCTCCGACGGATTTTTGGTATCACCTGGCAGGACAAAGTTCCAAATAGAGTAGTCCTAGAACGAGCTGGAATTTTCAGCATGTATACATTACTGAAACAGTGACGTCTACATTGGCTTGGGCACATCGTGAGAATGGCTGATGGTCGGATTCCAAAGGATCTCCTGTATGGAGAATTAGTGCAGGGAAATCGCCCCAGAGGGAGACCACAGCTGCGATACAAGGATATCTGCAAGTGGGATCTGAAGGCCTTAGGAATAGACCTCAACAGATGGGAAACCCTGACATCTGAGCGTTCAGCCTGGAGGCAGGCATTGCAACATGGCCTCTCCCAATTTGAAGAGACCCTTGTCCAGCAGGCCGAGGCAAAGAGGAAGTCACAAAAGCAGCAAAACCAGGGAGCTGGACAGGGGACAAATTGGATTTGTCTTCAGTGTGGAAGGGATTGTCACTCTCGAATTGGCCTCCTCAGCCACACTAGACGCTGTTCCAAGTCCTCCATATAGAGCACGTTACCATAGTCTTTCGAGACTGAAGGATGCCTAACTAGTCTCAGAACACTTTTATGGTGCCTCCTATCTCGTTGCCTTCAAACCCCATTTTAAAAACTGTCTTTCCAACAGAGCCCATGGCTTCCACCTTGGGAGCCTCACAGTTGCCTTCAAACCCGATTTTAAAAACTGTCTTTCCAACAGAGTTGTCAGGCTTACTTCCCATCCAGTCTGTATGAAAATCCAAGGAGAAGGAGGAGGTGGGTTGTTTTTGTATGACCTGGAATTAGTAAGTGCTTCCACCTCCTTGATCTATCCAAGATGAAGGAAACCCCTGATTACCTGACAAATGGAAAGATTTCTGTTGCAGGACCCATCTCCTTCCTTGGATCTGGGAGCTGCAATGAACAAAATAGAATTTAAAAGAACTCCAAGCCTCTGAGCTTGCTTTCCCCTTCCTTAACTGGTATGTGAACCAAGCACAAAAGCAATGGAGAAGCTGGACTATATCTCAGAAAGAACTAATCTTGATTACATCTTAAAATAGAAAGTTACAACACATTCAAAGCAAAAAAGGTTAATGCAAGGTAGAAAAATCCCAGCGACACATCTCTGCTCACAAAACATTTTTTAAAAATACAAAAGTTGGAAAAGAAACAGTAAAACATATACAGGCATTTTGGTTAGCTAGCACAGCCAGAACAGAATCATAATCCCCTAC